CTGCTAACTTATAGGACTCAAAAAGGTCTTGGCCGGGATCGAACCGGCGACCTTCTGCGTGTGAAGCAGGCGTGATAACCACTACACCACAAGACCGCTGGTTAAGCAAATGCAATCGGAACTCACTGCTTTCGTGCCCGTCATCTGGTAGTAATTACATAATCTCACCAAGGGCGTTCACTGTTTTAGATGTGAGCGTCAAAAAAGGTCTTGGCCGGGATCGAACCGGCGACCTTCTGCATGTAAAGCAGACGTGATAACCACTACCCCACAAGACCACTGGATCAACGAATGCTATCGGAACTCAATGTTTTCATGCTCGTCATCAGATAATCAATTACCTGGTAGTAATTCAATAATGTAACCAAGGTTTTTCACTGCTCACTTATAGGACTCAAAAAGGTCTTGGCCGGGATCGAACCGGCGACCTTCTGCGTGTGAAGCAGACGTGATAACCACTACACCACAAGACCGCTGGTTAAGCAAATGCAATCGGAACTCACTGCTTTCGTGCCCGTCATCTGGTAGTAATTACATAATCTCACCAAGGGCGTTCACTGTTTTAGATGTGAACGTCAAAAAAGGTCTTGGCCGGGATCGAACCGGCGACCTTCTGCGTGTAAAGCAGACGTGATAACCACTACACCACAAGACCACTGGATCAACGAATGCTATCGGAACTCAATGTTTTCATGCTCGTCATCAGATAATTAATTACCTGGTAGTAATTCAATAATGTAACCAAGGTTTTTCACTGCTCACTTATAGGACTCAAAAAGGTCTTGGCCGGGATCGAACCGGCGACCTTCTGCGTGTGAAGCAGACGTGATAACCACTACACCACAAGACCGCTGGTTAAGCAAATGCAATCGGAACTCACTGCTTTCGTGCCCGTCATCTGGTAGTAATTACATAATCTCACCAAGGGCGTTCACTGTTTTAGATGTGAGCGTCAAAAAAGGTCTTGGCCGGGATCGAACCGGCGACCTTCTGCGTGTAAAGCAGACGTGATAACCACTACACCACAAGACCACTGGATCAACGAATGCTATCGGAACTCAATGTTTTCATGCTCGTCATCAGATAATTAATTACCTGGTAGTAATTCAATAATGTAACCAAGGTTTTTCACTGCTCACTTATAGGACTCAAAAAAGTCTTGGCCGGGATCGAACCGGCGACCTTCTGCGTGTGAAGCAGACGTGATAACCACTACACCACAAGACCGCTGGTTAAGCAAATGCAATCGGAACTCACTGCTTTCGTGCCCGTCATCTGGTAGTAATTACATAATCTCACCAAGGGCGTTCACTGTTTTAGATGTGAGCGTCAAAAAAGGTCTTGGCCGGGATCGAACCGGCGACCTTCTGCATGTAAAGCAGACGTGATAACCACTACCCCACAAGACCACTGGATCAACGAATGCTATCGGAACTCAAAGTACTCTGCGTTGATACCACTGCTT